TGATTTAGCTAATATCAATATAATAATTCTCGTTTCTTTTTTTTTTTTTTTTTTTTGTAATATTCTTTCTTTCTTTTATTAAAAAAAAAAAAAGACATCCACAGATAAAAACAAAGTCCAACGAGTTCTTAAAGAAATCTTTGAGCACTAACTACGGTAGAAATGAAATTTATATATAATACTACAGGATGCATCATGTGGTTCGAATTATTATTATTATGTTTTTTTTTTTATATATAACTACTTTGCTATTAGGCTCGATATAAAAAAAAAGCTATTTTAGAACAGAAGAAAAAAGAAAAAAGAAAAAAGAAGAAAATATGATTTTAACGAGACCAATGATTATTTATGAAAAATGTACAGTAACAGTAATGTGTTTAGGTACTACTAAGCGGCGTGCTTACATTCGAAAATGTAAAAAAGAGATAAAAAGTAATAATAATAATAATAATTAGTCATAGTAATAATAAACAAATGTATACAACGTGCAGCAGGTAATATACGTAAATGAAAACTAAATTCATTTCTTGCCATTCTCGGTATGACTTTTGTTGCTTTTTTATTTTTATTTATTTATTTATGATCTACGTTATTAGGAATTATTATGTTTTTTTACACTACCGTGCCAAACTATCGTAATACTTTATCTTTTTTGATTTTTTTTTTTTTCATATAACTACTTCTAATATAAAAGATTTCTAATATAGTTAGTGTCTATATATATTTATATATATATATGTAATGTTTGTGAAAGGTACAGGACGATATTAGAAATAAAATTGATCAGATATTACGCGTGTACATGATTCACAACTGTTGAATAAATTTTATTAAATCTATCATTTATATTTATATATATATATATATATCAACTAATAAAAAGAAATCAAGTTTACCAAATTAATGGTTCAAAATATGATAATAATGTTTCAGATGTTTAATCTACATTCTATCTATTTTTCTAATGGACAAGTTTTTTGTGTGCGTGAGAGTATGTGCTTGGTGCATCTTTTATAGGGAAACAAATGTAAATTAAACTAAATAAAATTAAAATATAAACAAATAAACATTTACTTAAATTAATAAATAAACTAAAGAAAGGACACAGTGAGTCTGAGCTAACATAACAGAAAAAAAGAAAATAAATAAACAAAAAAGGAAATCAGAAGAAAGATAAGATAAAAAAAAAAAAGAAATAAAACTAGGAAAATAAATTGAAAAAATAAAAAAATTATAAAAATCAATGATTGAAATGATAATTTGATCAGAAAATAATTTTGATTGGATCTTAGTACCTAGATAGAGTAGGGCCGAGTGATAAAATTTCGAATAACAATTTAGACGAATATAATTTTGTTATTACGATATATTCTGTTTCGTAAATAATTCTGATAAAATCTATACTAAATTTTTATATATTATATTGTAAATAAAAATATATACTAAAGATCTTTTGAATAAAATAAAAAATATTATCAATAATTCACGAAGCAGAACAACGTAGATATAAATAGATCCAAAAATATAAAATAACCAATGTTATATATAAATCATGTCAAATATGACAAACTTTAGCTTAGTCTATCGAAGCACCAAAATCGTATATGCCGAATAGTTGTATCAAAATAAAAATAAAGAAAATAAAAAAGCCGAGACAAGACTCACCCATTATAGTATTCTCCAAGTAAATAGTTTGATAGATCTGCGACAGAAAAAATAATAGGAACACCTCCGATTAGATATATGAATCATGATTCCTCCTTCCTTCCTTCCTTCCTTCCTTCTTCTTCTTTGTTTATCGTGTTAACAACGTTGATAGATCATGGCTCTTCCTTCTCGCTAACTCCCGTTATGGTTGAGAAAATGTCCAAATATGATGATGACGATGACGATGATAAAGATTGCAAAGAAAGGATTGAAGTGAAGTGGAGTGGGGGAGAGAGAGAGAGAGGAGAGAGCCACAATACTTTGTAACGATGCTCTCACGATGTTCTCTCGATGCTCTCTCCACAGATGATCGAGCTGTTCTGTGCTTCTGTTTGCCACTGCCAGTCCTTATATACCTTGGAAGTAGGGCCCCACCCAAGGACACACATGTGGGTCTCATTCGTACACTTGGGGGAGAGAGGAAGGTCCTGGGAAAAAGGGCTCAACACAATACTACCTTCTGCAGGACCGGTCTCTCCCTTCTTTCCTTTTATTTTCTTTTTTTTTTTTTAATTGCTTCTCCTCTTCTTCTTCTTCTTCTTTTTCTTCTGCTACTATTTTTGCTTCTTCTACTTCTCATTCTGCATTTGGTCCTGTTTTTCCCCTAATCCAAAGCAATGTTCGTGATCTCACCCTGACAAGGGGGAGAAATCGACCCTCTAACAGATATCCGTCGTCAGTAGGTTCTATATACCTGTTCCTAAGTTTAGTAGTGCCTGTTGCTTGCGTCAAACTTCGATTTTCTCTTTTCCCTTCCTTTCCTTTCAACTATGGGAACTTACCCTACAGATTCACCAACAGGACCCACCCCTTAACTTCCAGGTGCTCCTCTCTCCTTGCTTCAGATAAACTGATTTTATCCGTGCCTATAACCGACCTACGTCTAACTGACGTTTTAATTTATTATTATTTTTAGAAATGTTTTCATCTTTGATATATTTTTTTATTTTCAATTATTTTATTAATAATAAATAAAATAAAATATTATTTGTGTATACATATTTTGTTATATTTCAATGCGATTTAATTAACCTTTAGAGTGCTATGAACGCACATATACGTGTTTGTTAATATTAATGTAAAATAATGTAATGTTTATATTAATTAATTAAATTATATTCACACAAAAAGAAAAACTTTAATTATTAAATATAAATTTATTATTAATAAATTATTCCGTTCTTACAAAACATTTTGGTTGCAAGTATTCAGCACTCAAAGGGTTAAAACGTTGACAGATTTAATATTTTTATTATTATTAATGAAAATAAATTCTTTTAAACATTTTTGAATAGAAATAACCAATCATATATTACAATATTTAATTAAAAATATGAAATTACATATACCATATATGCATATGAATTAATTCAACGGTCATTTGATTTCATTAATAATTCAAAAATGTTACACACAATGAATGAGAACGTTATATATTGAACTTGTTTTTAAAATAGAAATGTGCAGTTAAATTCGAAAGAACTGGAAGTTAGATGTTTGTTATTTTTTTTTTTTTCTTTTGCTTCGTTCACTTACAGTAATTTAAATAGCCGTGCGAATTGCCCTTGGGCAAGATTTGATATCCAGTTACACGGGTCTTACTAGACGTTGACCATTTTTATCCACGAACCGTTTCTCTCTTTTTCTCTCTTTCTCTTTCATAGAATAAAAATATAAGAAACTACGTGATCCTTCTGTTAGAAAAGACGTTACCAAAGAGAGGCACGTGCTTCTCAAAATTTACATAATAAGAACACCATAAGGACACTGTGGGAACGTCTTTTCATTCATTCATCTTTGTTCACTTTGTTTAAATTTTTTTGTTGTGGGAAAGATTCGGGACATCATCGTCGTTACCGTCACCATTATTATCATCATCATCATCATCATCATCATCATCCCTTTCGTAATATCAAACGAAACGGGTTTTTAAAAATGGCGGGATTTCGATCGAGACCGTATGAACAAAAAAATTGAAATAAATTCGTTAATTTAATAAAGATTAAACGTATACATRCATACGTGTGTGTATGTATTTATAATTGATCGAAAGGAAAATGGGGGGAGGGGGTGTGGGAAAAGTATTTTTCTTTTAATAATACGAAACTTCCTCTGGGCAAGAAGAAAATGCTCTCCTTTTTAAAAAGACTTCTTTCCTTCCCCTCGATGTTTCTCACGAGTTAACCGTTGGAGGTATTGTCAAATTTCGTTGGATTTTCTCAAGCGAAGGGTGTACAAGCTGGAAATAAGTACGCAGATGCGACACAGGATTTCGAGGAAAAATCGTTAGTCGCGTTTCGTCATGGTCGATATTTTTAAATCGTAACTTGACACAATCCCATAAATATAATGTTATTTTTATAAATGTTATGGTAATATCTAAACATATGGGATATATTTATATCCTTAATTATCACGTATGCATCTAAATTGTTGTTTTTTTTTTTTTTCTAATAAATATTATCTTCTGATATAACAAAAATAATAAAAGTTGTAATAATCTCAATCACACTAACAAGAATTAGATTAACCCTAGAAAATATAGACACACTTTAGTAATTTAATGATATAATTATAGTCGCGTGCCACCCTACAACACGTCATCTATATTAGTTAAAAAAAAATATACGGGTACCCTTCTAGATCACAATACTCTTAAATGTAACACTTAATTCTGCTAAAAGTGATGGCAAATCGATGACTGTTTAAAAAAGTTACTCGACGTTGAAAATCGTGGGATTCCATGTTGGAGTACGGTCAAATTCAAAGCTGGGCACCCGCATGCTGGCCCGTAATCACAACCCTAGTTTGATAATATTAACAGGTCTAGATATCCCTTGTGTTGTCAGGGGATGTACTGTATTTGCGCGTCATGCATAAAATAATTCAAAATAAAAATAATATTTTAAACACATATTTTTCTATCTTATTTGTTATTTTTTATATTATCTAACGTTACAAATATTTTTCTATCTTATTTTTATATATATATATATAAATTTATTAACCCAATTCTGTTTGAATTTCATTTATCCAAATTTGCATGCCTTGTATATTAATTTATATTGTGTAATAAATGTGATTAGGATTAAGAAAAATGAAATTAATATTAAGATTGTTCTAAACAAGACTGTTGGTATTCAGTTTAAAAAATTAGAACACGTGTATATCGCTTAGAATATTGATTTCCTTACAACACCGTTTTACTAAACGTCGTTTCCTAGGTGATCTAGAATAGTAAGAAAGGACAACAAAATGAGCCTAAGCCACAGCACTGGTTTGATGCTCCAACATTTATCCACGCGATTTCTACTTGAAAAGTTTGAATTTGATAAAGTTAGACATTAATTAATAGTGACTACATGTTGATTCATTGAATATCTATCAAAGCAACAATGCCATTGATAGAACAAGGGACTTCTAATCAGAAAGTAACAATACCACCGAGATTACCAACGATATTGAAACAATTTTGTAAAGCAGCTATACGAACTCAACCTTATGATCTTTTGAGATGGTCCAGTGCGTATTTTCGTGCATTGGCTGATGGCGAGGAACCACCGGTTAAATTAAGATTAGAATATCCACCACCAAGCACAGCTTCTGGTCTAACACTTGGATTTCTTAGAGTTCTTCTTCGTCAATTTGGAGGTATGATATTTTATATTTATTTTTGGTTTTTCTTTTTTATTATTCACATGATTGTTTAATAATTTATTTTTGTTAATTAGAAGGAAATATATAATATATAAAAATATATAAATATATAATATAAAATATAATAAATATAAATATCTTTTTTATAAAAATATATATATATTTATTTATTT